CCCTAATGGATTGTCTAGAAATATTTGTTTGATAAACTTGTAGGGTTTTTATCCAAACAAGCACACTCTCATCGCCTCTCACCTTTAAAGGCCTGGAGGCTGAGAGTTTACACCAAATTCTCAGACAGGTTCAAGTCAGGGGAGAGATTCCCGGCAAACTCTCCTGGTGCCTGAGGAGGCTGCCGCCCTTTTCTCCTCCTTTCCCGAAACACCTAGAGAGCCTCCGCTCCTCGCTCCTCTCGAACCCAACCTCTCAGCTCCCCTGAACTCTCCTAGGATCTTTTAATCAGAGCTGCTGCTCCTCCACTCTCTCCTACTTCATCCCCCCCTCCCCAGTGGTTCCCCCGCCCAACGCTGGGGTCCCTGCTGCAGTGAACTCCCAGAACTGACTCGAGACCGTGCACGCCTTTGTTTCGTCTTTATTTGCGGATATTATTATGCACCGCACTCTAAATTAGAGATAGATTTTTTTTTCTGATATACATTTCATCTGATTCACCACGAGCACACCACACGCACAGTAGGACAGTTCCACAACCTGATAAATTGCACAAGATGAATGTGAATTCCTGGAAACCAGCAGGCAAACCTGCCCGCTGCGGCTTCTCCCGGCTTCGCCGAAGGAAAGCGCCCACCCACAAAGGATTTCTCGGTCAGCCTTTCTGGCTGCAAGGTTGAAATGTCTCGGGAATGGGAAGCGCTCTTGCTGGAAATGGCAGGACACTGTAGATTCCGAGCACTGGATGGCCGTGAGATGTCCCCCCAAGGTCAAATTTCCACGCCTGGGAGCTGCATCCCTTCTTCCTCCCTTCCTCCCCACTGGGTGACTGGAACCAAAGTGTTGGGGCCCCCCTGGAAGCGCAGGACCCCTTGCCCACCAATGCTCCCCGCCTCCTCCCCAAAACCAGGGAGTTGTGGAAAAGAAAGGACAACAGAAACGCAGACGCAATGGATCACGGATCCCTATTCCCTCCCACCCACCCCCGTCCCCGAATAATCAGAAACTAGGAACCGAGATGTTTAAAGCTTGGCTTCCCAAGCGCGGCGGCACAGAGCACGGTGCTGGTGGGGGTGGGCTGGCGGGAGAGCAAGGGAGAGCGGCCGAGCTCACTCTCACACCCTAGTCCTCCGCGTTGGTTCGGTAGGCCTCGATGAGGCCCTCGAGGGAATGCACGAAGCCGGACACACTGCAGATGCCGCCGATGACGAAGATGGCAACGTCGAAGAAGACCTGGTGCCACAGCAGCTTGCGCCAGAGCAGGCGCAGGTGGAAGAGGCTGGGGAGCAGGAAGCAGAGACCGGCGCCGGTGAGGCTGCCGGTGAGGCCCATGAGCAGCGCGAAGTGGGGCACATAGATGGCCATGAGCAGTGTGAAGACGACCAGCGCGCAGCGCAGCGTCAGCCCCCACGACTTGAGGCGCCCGTCGCCTCCGTAGCAGGCGGGGAAGAAGGCGCGGCTGCCTTCCTGGAAGAGCGACTTCTCCAGCACCTCCACAGCAGCGAAGAAGGGCAGCGGGTAGGACAAGAGTGCCTTGGCCACCAGAAAGATGTTGACCACGGCGCGGATGGAGCCGGGCAGATTATCCGTGATAACTTCCTTGGTCTCGTCCGCCCAGGTGAGGTAGGCGACAAGCGCGAAGAGGCCCTTGAGCACGCAGGCGGCGATGTGCGTCCAGTTCATCATGCAGTGGAAGTCGCTGGGCTGCTGCATGTTGCCCTCCAGCGAGGGCAGGAAGATCTGCGACGTGTAGCTGAACACGATGATGCCGATGGAGATGGGGAACTTCTTGACGTCGATATAGAACTTCACCTTCTCCCAGGCCCAGTCGCGCGCCCGCGAGAGACAGTAAGCGATGACCAAGATATTGATGACGAAATGGGCCAGCGTGCACAGTAGACTGAACTTCGACACGGCCTTGAGGTTCTTTAGGAAGGCGCAGGGTAGCAGCACGGCCGTGGCGATAATAGACCAGGACTTCTGTGACACCGGCAGCCCGGGGAAGCTGTTGTACATGAGATTGCCGCTCACCACCACGTACAAGATGCACGTCATCACCAGCTCGATGATCTGCGCCACGTTGACCACGCGGCCGCCCAGCGTGGGGAAGCGCGGCGCACAGCACGCGTTGGCTATGGCCACGTACGAGTCCCGCACGCGCACCACCTCGCCGTCCTCGTTCTCCTCGTACAGGCACGCGATGAGGATCTTGCCGGTGTAGCAGCACACCACGGCGGCGAAGATGATGAGGAACAATCCCAGGTAACCGCCGTGTAGGATGGCGTAGGGTAGGCCCAGTACGAACATGCCCTGTGGAGCGGAGAGGCAAGCAAACGGGGGCGCTCAGTAGACGCAGCCCAGGAAGAGGACCCTGGGGGTGTGGCCTAAAACTAACGCAAGGGGGCGCTAAGAGAGGATGCGACTCGAACCTGAGGCACGAGAGAGGAAAGATAAAGGGTATGCAATGCAGGAGAAAGGGGGCCGAATGGGAAGCCTGGTGGGATGTTGAGTCCAAGGAGGAAAGGGAGGTGTTTAAGGATGAAACTGAGAAGGGAAGTTGGGCTAATGGCTGGGAGGTGGGGTGGGGGATGAGAGTAGGGGGAATATGGGGGTACTTGGGGGTGGTTCCTGGGGATGGAACCGGAAGTGGAGATGAGAAGGGTCTGGACGGAGCTTGATGGGAAAAGGGCTCTTTAAAAAGCAGCTGGGCCGAAGTCCCTGGGAAGTGGGCACGGATTTAAAGCGGGCTGGAATGGGGGGCGCGCACTAATGAGGGAAGCGCTCTTGTCTAAGGGCCAACTCCGAAAAGGAAACGTTAAGGGCTGCAGTAAGAGGAAAAGGAGATAGCTTAGAGAGGAAGCGGGGCTGAAAGTGAGGCAGAGCCAGGAACGGAGGCAATACGATCCTGGTTTGGGGGCGCAGGTGCTTTGGGGGCGCAGGTGCTTTGGGGACTGGGGTGGAGGGGAGGAGGCAGAGTCGGAAATACAGTCTTAGAACAAAGCTGGAGCTGCGTTGGGACCAGGGTTAGCTCTAAGGAAAGGTCCTAAGCAGGAATGGCAGAGGCCAGTAGGAGGGGGAGCCCACCTACCCAGAAAGCGGGAGCAACGCAGGAAAGCAAAAATCAAGCTGGGGTCTAGACTCGAAACTGTGGGGCCGGGCTGGCCAGGCTATAGAAGTGTGGCGTGGAACACACATGGGGGTAGAAAAGGTAACGAAATCCAGAGTTCCCAGAGGCCTGTGTGCCCCTAGCCTACTGCCCTGGCCTCTCTCCGGGCCTGTACAACCGGGCCTTGAGAGACATTGGGGGAGGGGTCACTAGGCGGGGCGGAGGGGGGCCCTAACCAAGTCCCTAGCCTATTAGTGCCCTCTCGCCAGACACTGGAGGCATCTAATAGGACTCCTGCTGAGCCCAGCAAACGGAGCAACCCTGCTGCAGCCTTCCCCAACCGGGAATCCACGTTCTTCGCCTCAACGACTGGGCGCTGCGGGGACGCCGCGGGGCCCAGTCCAAAAGCCAGGGGGCACCTAGAGCCCAGGACTCCTCCTTCCCTGAAGCTGCGACCTGCCAGCGTCTGCTGGCTCCCAGGGTCGTTTCGAGGCCTCCAAACGCCCCGTGGCGGAGCCTGACGCCTCCAGGTGGGGATTGGGGGGGTGGGGGGTGGAGGGTTAGGGGGTCGGGGAGTAGACTTGGAGGGCCTCGAGACCTCGGGCTGTCCTAAGCCTCCTGACCGGGCTTCCCCAGGGTCACGCGGAGGCGCGGGCCGCCTCTGCGGTGCAGCCGGGATTTCGGGCGAGAAGGGCAAGTCTGCGCGCACTACGCAGCTCAGAGCCCCGCGGACCTATGTGCTGGTGTGGGCACTCCTATGTGCCTTCGTGTGTAAAAGTCCCGGTATGTCTCCAACAGGGCTGCAGCTGGGAGAGCAGGCTGAGTGTTATCTGCACAAATGTGTGCCTGAGTGTGCACATGTTGTGTTCAAACGAGTGTGCGTTTGCTGTACAAAGGTATATGCTGCTGTGTGTAGGGCTGTACGCGGGTGTACTTGAGGATAATTCTGTGGTCTATAAATAGATGCGTGTCGTGTGCGTGTCTGTGGGGAGGGGTTGTGGGCCTGTGTGCCTGCCCATGTACGTGTGCACGCTTTATGCGTGTGTCAGGAGAGGAGACTCCCAGCTTAGCTATTTCCCTCTGTCCTTTCCAGCCGAAAATGTAGCTGTGACTCCATTCCGGAGTTCAAGGCGCTACTCCTCTCCCATCCTGATTTTCTTGCTCCCTCATCCCTCCCGCTCTCCCTTACTATCCCCCCCCCCCCAGCGCGTTTCCCTCGATTTTTGCAGGGTCTCTGGACCAGGGCCTCCCTCTCAACCTCGGCCAAGCTATCCTGCAGCCGAGGTGCTGGGAGAGGGCGCGACTCTGGGCGTGAGACACCACCTGGGGGCGTAGATACCCGAGCAAGGCCAGGAGGGATTGGGAAGGGGAGACACAGTCACCCTTCCTGGAGGGGGTGTCGAAGCCGAAGCAGAAGCCCAGGTTGCCGCTGGGTAGAGGCAGAGCCCGGCACTCCGAGCTGGCCTGGGGATAGGGGCTGAAGAAGTGGGGAATCCCGCGCTCACCTGAATGGCGTTGGTCACGTTCCAGCCCGCTTCCCACGCCGTGATCTTGGGTTTGTCGTGGCCCCCGAACTCACCACCGGCCCCCATGCCCTGGTCTTTAGAGCCTGAGGGCGGCAGGGGAGCGCCGCCGCCGCGCTGGTAATGGATGTCCCCTTCGACGGGCGGTTCTGCGCCCTCCTCTCCACAGGGCTCGCCTTCGGCTTTCAGGATGTCCATCTGCAAGCCTTGACGGTGCTCAAAGTCGAGGTCGTCGCAGTGCGCGAAGCCCACCGCCTCCTCGTCTGTGGCCGCCTGAAAACCCATCCTGGCAAACATGCCGCTCACCTTGGCCTGGGACTTGTTGGACACGGACGTGGCCACATTGGACAGCTTGCTGCGGAGCAGGGTGGCCATGGCGGCGGTAGGGCCCGAGAAAAGGACAGAAGGGGCCGAGGACGCGGCGGACGCGCGTCAAGACAGCGAGGCCCGGGGGCGAGAGGCCGCTATCTCCGCTCGCTGTCCCCACTGCGCCGCGGGGCGCTCTGGCTCATGACCCGCTAGAGTGGCATTCGAGGCTCGCTCAGGGCCGGACCGGGCAGGCGAGCAGCGGGACCGGCGGAGCGGCGGCGGCGGCGGCGGCTAGTGCAATGCGGAGCTGAGCCAGGCGCGGGCTGGGCTGCGGAGGGCGGCGGCGGCGGCGTCAGAGCCGCTACGCGAGGCTGGCGCGGCACCCCCACCAGCGCGCAACCCAGCGCGCCCGCCCTTCGGAGTCAGGCGGTGCGGGGGTGGAGGTGGGAGAGGGGAAGCCCCCGCTCCCCGAGGCTGGGGGAAGGAGGAGGGGGCAAGGAGAAGAGAAAGGTGGCACGAAAAGAATTCCAAAGTGAGGTGGGGGCTGGAGAAGGGTGCCCTTGGGAGGACAGCCAGAGGAAGCGCGCGAAGGGAAGCGCGGAGGGCGGGGGGGGGGGGGAGTGCTGCATTTCTGGAGGAGGTGCTAAACTCGGCCCAGGCCCTTCCCACTTCGCCGCCGCGCGGAGGGAGGGGTTGAGGGGTTGGGGTGGGCTGATTCTCTCTGTCTCCGGCTCCTGGACCAACCTTCCAGAGTCCGGTAGCTGCACAGCCCCAGATCATCCGGCCACGGACTGATCCGGGAGGCCAGAAAGCCGGCAAGACGGAATTGCCCGTCTTGGACGGTGCCGGCAGCGGACCGTCTGGGCGTCGGTTTGTGTCACTGGCAACCATCACTCGCACTTAAACCGGGCCCAGGTGCCCATAGAAGGCAGAAATGGTGGACACGGATCGCTCTCAAGGATGCTCCGCTCCGAGCCCGTCACCTAGGATCATCTGGGCTGTTTCTGCTGTCCGGGGACGCCGCCGTGGAAGCGATTCGGCAGGGCGCTCGCCACCAACCGCTCTCCAAGTTTGTGCTGAATGGAGGCAAAAGGTTGGCTTTTCGCTTGCGGGGTGGTGGAAGGAAGCAGAACTTTGATGACACTTCTCGGTCGGCTCTTGGCGTGTCTGTGACTGCCTTCGCTGAGAGGTGCGCTGCGGGTGTCCGGCGAGGAAGAAAGAAGGGTTCGCAGCGCGCGGGGCCTGGGCGTGGAGGTGCGCTTTGCGCTCCGCTCCGCCCCGGGCTGCAGGGTCTGGACGGTTTCTGTTCAGTAGGGTGTGTGTTACGAGCGTGGATAGGACAGAGATCCAGACACAAAGACAGACAAGGCATCAGTTACTGCAGTGGGCTGGATCTGTGTGAACTCCGAGAGCGAGATTCGGTAACTGGGTGCAGCTGGTGCGTGTGGCTCGGTGCACATCGGAGTCTGTGCGTTCGAGGCTTGTGTGCGGAACTGGTTGTCCACGTGTTTCGACTGGGGTTGCCCGCGCTTGTGCCTCGGTGAGTCCCTTTGTAGCATTCTCTGTGTGAGTCGTCTGCTCCGTGGGGGACCCTGTGTGTGTCCCCAGCTGGGCTCCCGTTTGGGACTTCTCCAAAGCAGCAAACCACAGGGTTGTACCCGGCAGTCCCTGCGAAGTAAAGGCTGTGACTGAGGGGAGGAGGGAGCAGCTGAAGGAACCAGAAAAGGAAGAGACCCCCAGGGTTCCCTCTCGGGAGGCCCCTCCTCCCTGGGAGCCCCAGTCTCTTCCCTGGCAGGTTTTCTAGATTAGCTCACGCCAGCGCACAAGTAGGGCAGCCTGGGGACTGTGACCAGCGAGTTGGCTCTGCCAGGACAAGACAGCTCTGTTCCTACCCCCATTCCAAGCGCCTCACAGTCTTCCTGAAGAGGCTTCCCTCCAGGTAGGAAACCGTGGGGACACTCACAGACGCTCTTCATCCCTCCCTAGGTACCCCCTTCATTTCCTCCAGGACCTCAGCAAATCCTCCACCTCTTGCCTGGCAAAAACTAAGACAGAAACCCTCCCCTTACCTTGAAAAATTTCCCAGCATCTCCAGCCACTGTGATCAAACCCTTCACAGAGCACTTCCCCAAAGACAGACCCTCCAAGTCATGATAAGACTCCAGCAAAGACAGAGCAGAGACTCTTCCTCTTTAAATACAAAGATCTTTTCCGAAGAGGATTTGAAGCAGAAGGGATCCCCATTCCCAGAGTTTGTCTGTATAGGTCCTCCCCCAAGTCCCCAGATTCCAGAGAGCTTTGCCCCGTACAGATTCCTCTAGACAAATATCTCCACGTCCTGCCCCTCTGTCCCCCTCTATTCCTGGTGGAATTCTTCTGGCCCATACAATATGATCTGGGCAAAGAGGTCTTTGTAGTGTTTTCTAGTGCCTCCCTGTGTGCCATTGACACTCTAACCTTAAGCTGACCATCAATGCCTTCTTGGACAGGTGAGTCCAAAATGCTTGTACTCTTTTTCCTTTTCCCCACATGATGTTCATTGCTCTAGGACCCAAGCAGGGCTGTGAGGTTCTTGGTCAATGAGAAATGGGATCATTTATTCATTCATTCAGCGCACCTTTTCATCGCCCTCCCTACGCGTGTGACTCTGTCCTGACTGCTGTGGGAATTACCAAGACATGAAAGCATGGTCCCTGCCTATGTTCCCACCCTATATCTTGGTCCAGGAGTGATCTCAGAGAATACTCAGACCAATTATCCTTTCTTCTATGCTTAAAATATCTCTACAGAGCCTCCCTTGAATCCCAATTGTATGATAAGCAAATCCACATCCACTTAATGAAGTGTGCTGCTCAAGGTCACCTAAAATCCTGACACTCTCCTGTGTGCTTTCCCTCCACACCTCCTTGTCTTTCCATCTTCCATCCTTGACTGTTGTTTGGTATTTGGCCACTTCGCTATTCAAGAAGACAAAAGTCAAAATTAGATTTCAGTCCCCCTGTAGTTAGCCACCAGCAGTTGTGAAAGGAGCTCCTCTCTTCCTCCTCCTTTCCTGCTGTTTGCAATAATACCTCTTCCCAGGCTGAAGGTAGCTGTGGCAGCCCACCCCTTATGGGAAAATCCTGCCTGGCACGTTCTGGGTCTGTGACCTTTGACTACCTACTTCTCTTATCCTCATTTTCTCATCTCATATGAAAACAATATTTGTAGCATCAGAATGATTGACAGTTCAATCCGATTTTGTATATAAAATGCTTAGCATGTACTAAGTGCTCAAAATGTGATTATTACTCTACTCAGTTACCATTTCTCATTGTGCGTATATAGGGGTGGGAGAGGGAATGCATATACAAGAAAAACCCTATGCTTGGGTCTGAGGGTCTGAGGGACCCTACCCTTTCCAATCCTGAGCTGGCCTGGGAGAAAAGAATGGAGTAGGGCAGAGGATGGGGACCTGCCAGGTGACCCAAGAGACAAACAGGATGACCAACCTAGCTGGAAGTGAGTCTTCACCCTTCAGAGTCTCCTAGATAGCTCCTTTCTCCATGAGAGGAATCTACACAACCTGGCTCCCGGGTTCTAACACAGCACATGCAAATACTCTCACACAGAGAATGACAAGCCAGCTGACTGATGCACAAAGAAATGATGACCAACATACAGATTCAAGTACATTGCTAGGTTTACACAGATTGACAGAGCAACACAGGTCAAGGACAGGCCAGCACACAGACACAAGATTTGTATCAAGACTGGCCACACACAAAGAAACCAGGACAGATGCCCATGGATCCATCTGTTTGGGTAAAGTCACCCAGATAACAGGCTCAGGCACTTGGCATTACAGGGACAGATGTACACGTGGAGAATCCTACATGACAGGCTCCTAGACACAAGAAACACACGATTCACACCTAGACCAGTAGTCAGGAATATGCTTATGTGATTGCTAAAGGGGAAAAGAGAGAACAAAGAAGGAAAGAGGGAGACAAAAAAGGAACAAGCAAGAAGAGGGCAGCAGGTAGACAGAGCAGATCATGCCAGGAGCAGCCACTAGCTAGTGGGACACAAAAGAGGCAAAGGTGTTGCAGCCTTCCCCTAAGACACTAGGAGGGAGACAGTGTGTGAGGAGGGAGCAGGACCTATCATTGCCTAGCTTGGAAGAGGGGTATCTCCTCCTGGAGCCACAAGGTCTCATTGTTTTGGGGGAAATGAATCACTGAGAAGAAATGGGTGAGGGATTCCCAGGATTCCCACAAAGCTTCTATGAAGCAGGGAATTCTGGGTCAAGATTCTGGATCAAAAAGGCTCCAGGCTAGTTCCCTGGAGCCAGGTCCCGATGAAATACTTCCTACCAATACACACACACACACACACACACACACACACACACACACACAAACACACAGGAGCTCAATCCCTGTCTTTGGTATGCTCAGTACCCAGGGAGTTAAATGCCTAACTAATAGAGATAGAGGCCACTTTGAAGGAATAAATAGGGTTAAACTGAACTGGGCTTATCTCCCAGAGCAGACAGCAACATGGAGAAAGGGGGGCATGGAGCTCTTGATTTAATGGCCTGGAAAGCCAACATCATGAGCATCATTTCGGGGCTGAATGATCACAGACAGATCCCCTCCCCCTCTGCAGACTGTGGCTTGGAGCTCTCCTTTTCCAGAGCAAGGTCTGCCTGTGAGCCTTTTCCTGCTCAGGAGGTAGGTGCTGCTCAGTAAATCACCCCACTCCCCAGCATCGGGGCTAGGTCATTAGTCAGGTTTCCCTACAGCTAGAGAGAGTCATGTTCACCTTCCCCAAAGCAGAAGCCAATTTCCTGATGCTGTGTCCGTGGGAAGGAGGAGGGGGACAACAAGGCTGAAGTCTGCAATGGGCAGTCCATGCATAGAACAGCGATGCTGATTCTTCTGCCTTCAGTGACAAGTCAGGTGGGACCGTAGGGGTGTAGGTGCTGTCTCTGTTAGTTCAGGCTCAAGCATATTAAAATACATCAATGATTGTGTAAATATTAGCAGTTTCCCTTGCTGAAGTGGTAGACATGACCTCTCCAGAGACATCTAGGCAGGGGCTGGATGCCCTATCAGGCACAGTGTCCAGAGGAGTCCTGCCTCAGGGCAAGGAAGATTGGATTTCATTACCTCTTGGTTTCTAGGTACATGCCTTCCATGCTGAGAGCTCTGGGAAGGAGCCAGGGAGCAAGGGATATGTGGAACCTGGCCTTACTCCTGGCAGCCTTCTTTTTTTTCTTTTTTTTTTTGAGACAGGGTCTTGTTATGTAGTTCAGGTTGGGGTTGAACTTACTATATAGCCCAATCTAGTCTTGAACTCTTTGTGATCCTCCTGCCTCAGCCTCCCAAGTGCTGGGATTACAGGCCTGCACCACCACGCCCAGCTTCTTGACAGCCTTTAAAACCTGGAAATGCTGCCAGAACTGAAGGAGGAGCCCTGGACCTGTTTGGTGGGTTGACCAATGGTTCCTGCCCAGTTCTGAGAAAATGACCTCCTATTATGCTGGGAGGCAAGGGGTGCAATTAAATTGGTATCAAAAACCATTTTCCCCCAAGAACTTTTAGTGTGATTAGTTGAGGAAATACACACACAGTGGCCAAAGTCCAGCCCTGAATTCAGAGTCTGTAATGCTTCTGAATGGATTTGCCTTTTATCCTCACATCTTCTCTGTTGTTGAAAGCTAGTCATATGTACATATGTGAGATGTGACTTTTGTTCAGAGAATGCTTGAGGTGCACATCCAGATTCAGAACTCTTGCAAGAACCCTCAGCACTCCTTAGGAATCTGTCAGTGACAGAAGAGAGAGGGCAGATGTCTGTGAGTGATCAATTATGACAATCAGAGCCATGATAGAGGCTCTGATTCCAGGGAGCCCTGTAACAATTACTCTGGGCTCCAGGAGTGCAAAGGGGCCATGGACCTGACCTCTTGCACCATCGTGCTGTTGGTGTAGAGCTTGCCTTTATCGAGTGCTCTTTGTATTCCTGAAACCGTTGAAAGCATCTGCGGATTGTGACTTACTGTGTTAGTAACTTTCCCCTCATTCCTGAGACAAAATACCCGACATCCAAAGTTAAAGGAGGACGGGGTTTATTTGGCTTACAGTTTGTAGAGGTTTTAGGCCATAATTGGCTGGCTCCAAGGCGGGAATGACAAACAGGCATTGCAGAGGAGAAACAACATGGTGCGTGCAAAGTAGCAACGGTAACAAGAGGGACTTAACAGCATCTCCCTGCTGCTTTTATCTCATTCAGCCTACTTAGGGTGAGTAGCACTCACACCCTTAATCCTAGGGCCCTTGAGCCTAGCATTGCATCATGAATCAATTCCAGTTTCACACACTCTAGATCAAGCCTATGACCACATGAGGCTTTGGGGGGACATCTAGACCCAAACCATAACACTTTCTCCTCAGGTTCATCTCCTGTCTCCACAGGAGGTTTCAGACAGGCCATGGAGCACTGAACATGAGGAGATGGTCTTGGGTGACGCACGTAGTGGCAAGGGGACAGTTG